CGCTTAGTGCTCGGGGTCTCGGCGGGGTTCGCGTATGTCGTCACGCCCGACTTCGACGACTACGATGAGCCGATCGTGGTGGGGCCCGACGTGCGGGCCGTGCTGCCGCTGGCTGGACAGGGCGACACGCCTGCTGCGCTGGTCGGCGCCGCAGTGCATCGATTCAGACGCTTGCCGACGGCCGCGGAGCTGTGGGCTGCCGTGGGTCGCTCCGTGGCCGCGGGGTACCCGATGCCAGCGGACCCTCTTCTTCTGGCTCTCGCGGCGGGCAACGCTGCAGGCGCGCCTCCAGGGCCCACGCTGCAGGCGCGCCTCCAGGGCCCTTCCCGCTGGCGGACCCAGCAGCTGCGGCCGCCGCCGCGCCTGCGCCGCCTCTCGCCCTACCACCTGCGGATGGTCCTGCTGCTCCCGTCCCGCCGGGGGCCGCCCCTGGAGTCGCGGCGCTGGCCGCCGCTCTGGGACCCGTGCCACCTGGCCCTGCCGCGGCGCCGCCGCTGGCGCCTGTGCCTGGAGCTGCGGCTGGTGGCGCTCTCGCGGTCGATGCTCTTCCCGCTCCTGCTGGCGACTTCAGGGTGCTGCCGATGGCGATCAACCAGCGGGGCGAGCGCGAGCGGAGGTTCGGCGAGACGGTGAACGGCCTCTCAGAGACCGAGGTGGTGGGCTGGCCCATCCAGGGCCCGCGTACTCTTCTCTGGTGCTTGTCCTTTATGTCAACCATGGCGGGGACGCCCACCGCGTGGCATCAGCGGTGGCTCACGGCCATGGCCCTGGCCGACGACGACGAGTACGCCAAGCTCCATGAGACCCTCTGTCGGGTCTTAGACCTCACCGTGGTCTACGACCAACTGCAGGTGGCGGAGATGGCGTCCTTCGAGGTCGTCGCACGTCAGCTTCAGCTGCTGGAGGAACGGGTGTACGAGTCTCGCTCGGCGCCCCCGACGGCTGCCGCGCCCAAGGCCAAGTCTGGAGCCAGGAGCGCCGCGACGGTCACCGCCGCCAGCATGGCTGAGACGAGCTACTTCTTGGGCGCGGGGGTCTCCAAGGCCAACTTGTGCATCTCTCCGAAGCTGCTCGAATGCATCGCAGATCAGATGAAGGCGGAGGCCGCCATCAGCAAAGAACGACGCAAGGCGCGTGAGGAGCGTGCCTTGCGGGCGCCATGATATCTGAGAAGTCCAGGCCTGGCTGTGGGGCGCGCCTCAGTGGCGCCAGCCAGGCGCATTGCCCCAGCGCTGCTCATCAAGTTCGGCAGCGTGACGTTTTTCCTCTCCGTCCTATCCCTGTGGAGCGACGATCTGGTATCGCGTCGATGGGTGGTTCAGCCCGCGGACGGGCCGCCAAGGGTGCTGCCTGGAGAGAGTGGTACAACGATGCCGTGTCCACCCTCAACGACATGTACCATTGCGACCCTGATGATATGGTTACTCCGCCTCCAGGTCTTCCTCCGCGCGCTCGTAGCGACGCTGAAGAGTATCTTGCTCAACAGTTTCGCGATTTTGAACTACCTCCTGGATATTCCGAATCTCCGATCAGATGCGAGGCAGCCCTGGCAGAGTTGCTCGCGTCGGCGCCTGGATACTCTGGTGAGTCTCGGGTGAGACCCTACGACAAGGAGCTCGTCTCCTGGCCGAAGCACGTGGCCCCCGTTCCCACGGCCGATCTCGTGTCCGACGCCGATCGTTCAACGTTGTCAGGGTGGAGGCAACAAATGCTACGTGATCCCGCGGAGACAGCTACTCTCAGGAAGGACTCGGGCATCGGTTCGCCATACGTGGATCCTCGCCTTCGGTTTCGCCCTCGGGAGTATGCTGATTTTTTGCTGCGCTTGGATCAGGCTGGCATGCTAGAGTGGGAGGTCGCCGAACGTCAGGCGCCCTACTCCACAGGCTTCTTCTTCGTCGAGAAATCCAATGGGGTCAACCTTCGGCTCGTCTTCGACACGCGGGTTGCCAACATGTCCTTCTCTGCCCCCCCTTCTACGAGATTGCCGACTCCGTCGGCATGGAGTGCGCTCGAGGCTTCGGATGACTTCTACGTGGCGCAGGGTGACATCCAGTGCGCATTCTATCACATGAAGTTGCCGCCCCAGCTGCACAGATATTTCTCTCTGCCAGTGGTCCCGAATCGGTACTTGGGTTTCAAGGCGATCAATGGACTGAAGCTCCCCACGAAGGCCTTCTTACAACCGTTTGTGTCTGTCATGCCGATGGGGTGGTCGTGGGCTCTCCACTTTTGCCAGTCAGCCTTAACCGCAGCCATGCGCGACTCGGGGATCGACGATGATGCGATGCTGGTAGACGGTTCAGCACCTCGTCCTCTGCGAGACCATGGCGACATCATCGCAGCTGGCTACGTGGATAACTTCGCCACCGTCTCACTCAGTCCAGAAGTTGCCACCGCTTCGTGCCAGGCCATTCGAGACGTGCTGGTTGCGAGGGGCTTACCTGTAGAAGAGTTCGCCCCCGCGGCGCAGCGCGTCACCTTCACTGGCCTCGACATCCTGGGCGACGTCGGCGTCATCAGGTGCAAGGTGGACCGGTTGTCTCGGTTGCGCCAGGCCCTACTTGGGCTACTCAGACGTGGCTTCGCATCTCCGCTTGCGTTGTCCGCCGTGGTCGGGCACTGCACCTGGGGGATGATCACCAACAGGCCCATGCTCTCCATCTTCCACGCAGTCTACCGCTTCATGGGTCAGGACTCGCGTCGGGCTTTGCCGCTGTGGCCGTCAGTCGTCTCTGAGCTCCGTGCCGCTGCTTCCCTCATCCCGTTGTGGTGGGCTGATGTCAGGGCAGAGTGGGCGGCCGCCACCTTTTGCAGCGACGCCTCTCCATACGGCATTTGCGTGTGTCGCAAGTTCGTGGAACAAGAGGTCGTTGCTGCCGCAGGTCGACTGTCTGAGAAATGGCGCTACCGCTTCTCCGATGCCGTGCACGCCCGCGCCCACGCTCTGGGAGTCGACCCGAACGTCGTGTTGGAAGCTGCCGTGAGCAAAAGAGGCCTCAAAGACTGCGAGCAGTGCCCGAGGCCTCCCGAGGCCCAAAGCAAGCCCTCGCCCACCGCATCATCATCACCTCGAGGGCTCGACGAGATTTCGCTGGACGGCTTCGACGAGGTTCCCGACTCGATCACGGCTTCGACGGCTGGTCTACGATATATAGCGCACGGCATTCGAGGTTCGGTTTGGAAATCATGCGATACGAGGCGGAGGCTCTCGGATTTGCGATGCGACACTCGTCTCGGTCTGGACGGCTTCGACATCATCGCATCCTGTTCACCGTCGACAATTTGGCTCTAGCCCTTGCTGCTGGCAAGGGTCGTTCTGGTGCCCGAGGGCTTCGCGATCCACTACGACGCCTCTGTGCTCTGTCCGCAGCTTCCGGCATTCGCCACGCTGTGCGATGGATCCCTAGCGAGAGCAATGCCGCAGACGCGCCGTCGAGGACAGGTTTCTTTGTCGGGCCGACCTTCGAGGAGCACCAAGCGGCTGCGCCCCGAGTTTCGGCGCCAGCGAGCCACGACCGTGACGGAGCAGAGGACCAAGACGCATCCAGGACCACAACGGCTCGGGCGGGGTGCGCTCTCGGTCCTCGAGTCAGCTGCCGTGTCGGACACAACCATGGCCAACTACTGGGGCGCCGCCAAGAAGTTCGAGGAGTGGTGCCGCTGGACGTCCCAGACCTTCACCACGGCGGCGGAGGTCGATGTCATCCTAGTTACCTACTTCGTGAACCTCTTTCTGGACGGCTTCGACAGTGCTACGGGCCGAGTCCTGCTCGCCTCCTTGAAGCACTACCTGCCTTCGATCCTGGTGGGCAGGACGCCGTGCCCGCGTGCAGCTCGCGCCTTGACAGGCTGGCGGAAGCTCGTGCCCCCGCAGATGCGACTACCCCTTCCACGGGCGGCGATGGCCTCCATCGTGGGCGTCCTCATCTCGTGGAAGCTCTTCGGCATGGCAGTGTTCGTCAGGCTGATGTTCGACACCTACCTGAGGCCCAGCGAGGCCTATCGGCTAACAGCGGGCAGCGTTATTCGACCAAGACCCGATGCCGCCCGCGGGTACGGACATTGGGCCCTGATCGTCAACGACGCCTGCCTCGATCGTCCTGGGAAGACAGGGGAGATGGACGAGAGCGCGATCGTCGACAACCCGACGCTCTGGCCCCTTCTCGACGCGCTGGTGCTGGGCAAGAAGACGAGCGACGGCCTCTGGACCTTCGCCCCCGACGAGGTGCGGAGCATGTTCCGTCGTGCTGCCGCTGCGCTCGGGTTGGAGGCCGAGATGACGCTCTACTCCCTTCGGCATGGGGGTGCGTCCGACGACCTCCTGTCTCTCCGACGCACCAGGAAGGAGGTCAAGGACCGCGGCCGATGGAGGACGGACCAGAGCCTCCTCCGCTATGCCAAGAGGGCTCGTATGCAGCAGCGGATCGCCACCCTAGGCCAGAACTTGATCGACTTCGGGCACGCGGTCGACTCGCAGATGAACGATCTCATTCTGCAGACCACCTCCTCAGGCGTCTTCCCGCTGCAAGTGCCGCTTGCCGTGACGCCGACACCGCCAGCGGTCAGGCCTCCGCCTCCGCGAGTGACAGCGCGGTGGGCCTTCGCCTGACGAGGATTTGGCGTGCAGCCAGGCGTGCTGCGACGCGGTCCAGGTACTCGCCCGCCCTAGTAATTGGCGGCGACGGCGGCGCGGCTCGCGCTCTGCAGCGCCTCGGCTTTGGCGTGCTGCACTTGAAAGTGAGACGCCATGTGACCGATGACATCACAGATCCTTTAGTGATGAAGCGCGTGCTCGGATGGATTCGTGCAGGCTGTATTTCGTGCGTGTGGGTGGAGCCCGACACGACTACGTGGCTCCCTCAGAAGCCCGCTGTCCGTAGCAAAGCTCGAGCCAACGGCCTGCCGAGTCTGTCCAGTGCCCAGCTTCGATCAGTTGCCATTGCGAATCTGTTTCTCAGTCATTTTGTGCGCCTTCTGTCAGTGTGTAGCGACAATAAGGTTCCAGCCGCTCTGCGTCATCCAGATGCGTCTTTCATCTGGGATGTCCCTTCTTGCAAAGCTATAGTTAGCCAGTGTTCGTCTGCTGCCGTCTTCGATGCATGTATGTTCGCTGGCCGTATAAAGAGAAGATTTCGATTAGTGAGCTGGCATGTACAAGACATGAGTTCTCTTTCTGCTATCTGTTCGCCGGCCGACTCGCGTTGCTGCCGATCTGGGAAACGGCATCTTGGCGAGCTCGGCATCCCATCTTTAGATCGGCAGGTACGCAGCAAAGTGCTGCGGCTCCCCGCTAATGTTCTAAGATGCGCCTGCGACAGGATGGCTCTCAGTGTTGATTCGCTTCGCTACATTGCTCGGCAGATCAGAGCTGTGTGAATTCAGTTAATGCGGCTTTCAAGCCAGTGGGATGGGCTAGCCTAGGTACCTGGTGCATCGCGACAGCATGCGTCCGCTGCCCTCGCCTGTTGCCGAGTCCTTTGCACAAAAAGATAGCCCCTGGCCTCCAGAGTTGCCCACATATTGCTGCCCGCGGCTTTTTGTGGCTCTCTTTCGGGCCGCACTTCCATTCTCAAGCTTCTCCCGCCCGCCCTGTTTCCCGCTCTAGAATGTTGTGCCTGGTGCATCGCGACAGCATGCGTCCGCTGTCCTCGCCTGTTGCCGAGTCCTTTGCACAAAAAGATAGCCCCTGGCCTCCAGAGTTGCCCACATCATCAACATCATCTCATCAGCAAATCACCATCTCATAATCTCATACATCAATCATCATCGTCGTCGTCGTCGTCGTCGTCGTCTTGTCGTCCGTCATCTCAAATCATCTATCATCCATCTCATCATCATCATCATCATCATCATCAATCATCCATACAGCGTTTTCGTGGCCCCATAGGAGCTCCACCAAGCCCCCAGTGCGGGGTTCGCATAGCTCCCCGCCCCCATTTTGCGCACCCCGCGCACTCATCCTCAACTCAGCGCGTGGCCCTAATAAATAAAAAAAAAAACATAGGAGCTCCACCGAAAGGCTCGTGGCAGGGTTCGCAATGCGGTCCCGCCTCATTTTGCGGACACCCTCACGCGTTCCGTGGCCCCATAGGGAGCTCCACCGACGGCCCCAGTGGCAGGGTACGCATGGCGGCCCCACATTTTGGCGCACCCCTCACACGGGTTCGTGGCGGCCCACATTTTGGCGCACCATTCACACGGTTCGTGGCCCCGCAGGTTGCTCCACCGAAGGCTCCAGTGGCAGGGTTCGCATGGCGGCCCCGCCCCATTTTGGCGCACCCCTCACCCGGTTCGTGGCCCCGTAAGGGGGTTCCACCGAAGGCCCCAGTGGCAGGGTTCGCATGGTGGCCCAGCCCCATTTTGGCGCACCCCTCACCCGGTTCGTGGCCCCACAGGGAGTTCCACCGAAAGCACCAGTGGCAGGGTTCGCATGGCGGCCCAGCCCCATTTTGGCGCACCCCTCACGCGGTTCGTGGCCCCTCAGGGAGTTCCACCGAAAGCACCAGTGGCAGGGTTCGCATGGCGGCCCCGCCCCATTTTGGCGCATCATAGGGGGTTCCACCGACGCCCCCAGTGGCAGGGTTTGCATGGCGGACCCGCCCCATTTTGGCGCACCCCTCACACGGTTCGCGGCCCCATGGGGAGTTCCACCGAAGGCCCCAGTGGCAGGGTTCGCATGGCGGCCCCGCTCAATTTTGGCGCACCCCTCACACGGTTCGTGGCCCCATAGGGAGCTTCATTGAAGGCACCCTTGGCAGGGTTCGCATGGCGGCCCCGCCTTCTTTTGGCGCACCCATCACGCGGTTCCTGGCCTCACAGGGAGCTCCACCGAAAGCACCAGTGGCAGGGTTCGCATGGCGGCCCCGCCCCATTTTGGCGCACTCCTCGCACGGTTCTCGGCCCCATGAGGAGCTTAGCCGAAGGCCACAGTGGCATGGTTCGCATGGCGGCCCAGCCCCATTTTGGCGCACCCCTCACACGGTTCGTGGCCCCATAAGGGGGCTCGACCGAAGGCCCCAGTGGCAGGGTTCGCAGGGCTGCCCCGCCCCATTTTGGCGCACCCCTCACACGGTTCGTGGCCCCATAGGGGGCTCCACCGAAAACACCAGTGGCAGGGTTCGCATGGCGGCCCCGCCCCATTTTGGTGCACCCCTCACACGGTTCGTGGCCCCATGAGAGTCCCACCGAAGGCCCCAGTGGCAGGGTTCGCATGGCGGCCCCGCCCCCATTTTGGCGCACCCCTCACGCGGTTCGTGGCCTCCTCCTCCTCCTCCTCATCATCATCATCATCATTATCATCATCATCATCATCATCATCATCATCATCATCATCATCATCATCATCATCATCATCATCATCATCATTATTATCATCATCATCATCATCGTCGTCGTCGTCGTCGTCATCATCATCATCATCAGCATCATCATCATCATCATCATCATCATCATCATCATCATCATCATCATTATGATCATCCAGTACAGCGTTTCGTGGCCCCATAGGGAGCTCCACCGAAGCCCCCAGTGGCGGGGTTCGCATGGCGGCCCCGCCCCATTTTGGCGCACTCCTCACTCAGTTCGTGGCCCCATAGGGAGCTCCACCGAAGGCCCCAGTGGCAGGGTTCGCATGGCGGTCCCGCCCCATTTTGGCGCACCCCTCACACGGTTCGTGGCCCCATGGGGAGTTCCACCGACGGCCCCAGTGGCAGGGTTCGCATGGCGGCCCCACATTTTGGCGCACCATTCACACGGTTCGTGGCCCCGCAGGTTGCTCCACCGAAGGCACCAGTGGCAGGGTTCGCATGGCGGCCCCGCCCCATTTTGGCGCACCCCTCACCCGGTTCGTGGCCCCATAAGGGGGCTCCACCGAAGGCACCAGTGGCAGGGTTCGTATGGCGGCCTCGCCCCATTTTGGCGCACCCCTCACACGGTTCGTGGCCCCATTGGGAATTCCTTTTGTTCCGTCCCACTTGCCATGCGGTTCTCACACTTGAGCATGGTCGGGTTCTTCGCCAGGTTGTTTTTTTTTGTTTGTTTATTTTTTTTTGTTAAACAGTTTTTTCCCCCACATCCTGAGTGGGGTTCTTGTTTTCCCAGGACATCCTCTCCTTCTCCCTCCCGCCTCCCGCGGGTATCGGAAACCCATACTATTTACATGGTTTCGTGCCCCTCCCACCCCTCCAGGGAGGCCCCGCCTGAGCGAGGAGGGTATCGGACCCCCCTACTATTTACATGGTTTCGTGCCCCTCCCTCCCCTCCAGGGAGGCCCCGCCTGAGCGAGGAGGGTATCGGAAACCCGTACTATTTACATGGTTTCGTGCCCCTTCCACCCCTCCAGGGAGGCCCCGCTTGAGCGAGGAGGGTATCGGAAACCACTACTATTTACATGGTTTCGTACCCCTCCCACCCCTCCAGGGAGGCCCCGCCTGAGCGAGGAGGGTATCGTAAACCCATCTTATTTACATGGTTTCGTGCTCCTCCCACCCCTCCAGAGAGGCCCCGCCTGAGCGAGGAGGGTATCGGAAACCCATACTATTTACATGGTTTCGTACCCTTCCCACCTCTCCAGGGAGGCCCCGCCTGAGCGAGGAGGGTATCGGAAACCCAAACTATTTACATGGTTTCGTGCCCCTCCCACCCCTCCAGGGAGGCCCCGCCTGAGAGAGGAGGGTATCGGAAACCCATGCTATTTACATGGTTTCGTACCCCTCCCACCCCTCCAAGGAGGCCCCGTCTGAGCCGAGGAGGGGTATCGGAAACCACTACTATTTTCATGGTTTTCGTACCCCTCCCACTCCCTCCAGGAGGCCCCCGTCTGAGCGAGGAGAGGTATCGAAACCCAAACATTTACATTGTTTTCAGTGCCCTCCCACCCCTCCAGGAGGCCTCCAGCCCTGAGGAGGAGGGTATCGGAAACCCATCGCTATTTTACATGGTTTTTCGTACCCCCCTCACCACCCCTCCAGGAGGCCCGGGCCCTCTGAGAGGTATCCGAAACCCCACGGCCTTCAAATGTGTTGGGTGCCTCCCCACAACATGTGAGAGGAGGATCCACTTACCTATCCATCTCACGTCCTACTCCTCCCACTGAGGAGGGTGAGGAGGAGGGGGAGTTCTGCGATGAGGAAGGCTTCATCATGATGATGGTGATGACGATGGTTATGCTGCTGTTCACGATGACGATGACGATGGCGATAATGGTGATGGACGATGACGATGGCGATAACGGCGATTATGATGATGATGATGCTGATGATGATGACGATGATGATGATGACGGCGACAATGATGACAACGATGACGACGACGAGGATGGTGATGCAGATGCTGGTGATGATGACGATGCTGCTGCTGATGCTGACGTTGCTGGTGCTGTTGATGATGATGGCGACGATGACGTCCACGATGATGCGGATCATGATGATGCCAAGGACGGTGATGGTGATGATGATGACGATAATGATGATGACGATGCTGGCGACGACGATGATGATGACGATGACACTGACGATGATGATGATGCTGCTGCTGATGATGATGACGATGATGATGCTGATGATGATGATGATGCTGATGCTGCTGATGATGATGACGATGATGATGATGATGGTTATGATGATGCCGAGGATGCTGACGATGATGATGATGATGCTGATGATGATGATGATGATGCTGATGATGATGATGATGATGATGATGCTGATGATGCTGATGATGATGATGATGATGATGATGATGATGAGGATGATGATGATGATGATGATGATGATGATGATGATGACGATGATACCGCTGCTGCTCTCCACC